TGGCACTTGGTTACCTTAAACTTGAGACGGTGTGTTCCTGACCGCTTCTGCTGACCAAATGTTCACAAACCTTCTTCTAAATTCTCAGGGAACTCTCCTTCTTACTCGTGGTTTGAACACTTGAGAGCGACACAACATGCTTTCTATGACATCAACAAGTCACTCTTTAGAGCCCTTCTCAAAAAGGAGTCAGTATGAACTCTGATAGAATTCCTTTCATCGTGATCTCCCAAGGGACACAGTGGTAAATAATCGGTCCTGGAAAGAACTTTCCAAACAGTTAGATGACTTGACAGCTGCATTATTAGATCAGTTTTATTAGAAAAAAATTTTTTAATGTTTTTATTTATTTTTGAGAGAGAGAGAAACAGAGTAATATTTGGGGAGGGGCAGAGAGAGAGGGAGACACAGAATCTGAAGCAGGCTGCAGGCTCTGAGCTGTCAGCACAGAACCTGATGTGGGGCTCGAACTCACAAACTGTGAGGTCATGACCTGAGCAGAAGTCGGTCGTTTAACTGACTGAGCCCCACAGCCGCCCCTATTGGATCAGTTTTAAAAATTTGCCTATGAAGATATTATAAGGGTGTATAACATGGGCTAAAAAATTGTTTTTAAATGCGTGTCAGTAAATTGCCACACTATTTTTTTTCTTTTATTTTCTTTTTCATACCAAAGTTGAAATGTATACTCAAGTTGTCACTCTTTTCATGGGTATATGGTCAATGTATGTCTTGTAGAAAAGAAATGGGCATAAGAGAGGCCTGGTGTCTAATTTAGCAAGATGTGCACACAAGCACCAAGGTTTTGCATCCCCTCCAGACTAAGGGGGTGAAAGACAAAAAGATTTGGTTATTAAATCTCATTTGGGATTTATTAAGACTCAATATACCAGGCTTATCTCTTTTTAGGTTACCTGCTAAGACTACTTTCCTTTGTAAATTCAGACCAGCTTTATGAGTCTATCCTTTTTAAAGTATCTGAAAATTGTTTTTAGCCTTTTTCTGCAGTTACTCTTACTTTCACTAGACAGAGAAACAAATCTTAAATGCTTTATTCTTTTTTTTTTAATTTTTTTTTCAATGTTTATTTATTTTTGGGACAGAGAGAGACAGAGCATGAACGGGGGAGGGGCAGAGAGAGAGGGAGACACAGAATCGGAAACAGGCTCCAGGCTCTGAGCCATCAGCGCAGAGCCCGACGCAGGGCTCGAACTCACGGACGGCGAGATCGTGACCTGGCTGAAGTCAGACGCTTAACCGACTGCGCCACCCAGGCGCCCCTGCTTTATTCTTTTTTAAGTATGGCTTGGGGTGGGGTGGATATTGAATAATTACTATATGTCAGGCTCAATGCTGTTATTTCATTACTATATTTTCAAAAACCTCATGAAGTAGATATCTTTTCCATTTTCTAGTTGGAGAATCAGGGACACAGATTGACTAATTTTCAAAAGGCCACATAGCTAGTGGAGTTCCATTCAAACCCAGGCTGAGACCGCAGCCCATGCCAACTTCCTCGAGCTATGTTAGACCAGTCTCATTTCCCTCATCTTTAAGTGTTTTTGAGAATCCCACAACTTGTGAAACAATGATAGCTAGTTAATCTGAAATGTCTTTTGGTTTGTTGGTTTTACCCTTCTTGAAAATATGCCAGTGGAGGCTAAAGGTGTCCAGCATATGTATTCTTTAATTCTTCCCTACGCAAACTATATGATTTCTTTGTTTTCTACAGTTTTGCCTAGCTTTTCTTTTGAACAAATGCATGACTTTTTCAAGACAAAATGCTTTTGCCATTTCCGGATTATCTATCATGTTTTTGTTGTGGATCAAATGGAACAGAATGTGCTTTGGCCACAGTTCCCTTAAAGTGGGAGGAGATACCGCATGTGTTTTCTAGTCCTGTTTATTGTTAAAGCTTATTCCTCCATGTGGTTTTATGTCATCTACAAATAATTCTTTTCTATCACTTTTCTGATCTTACTGTACTAAGTTCTCTGCTGCAAGAGGAGAGCCAGGCCTTGGGGCAACTCACAGTTCAATGTCCACACTGAACCATCAGTTTCACAAAATTTGTGGCCATCAGAGAAGCACTCTCTCTTAACCTGATGGTGGCTGCAACTTAAATGATGCTTTACTTGCAAAGAAAAGAACTTTGGTTCTCAGATAAGACCATCTAGGACAAGCAGGACGTAAAGTACAGTGACTGCCTGAGAAGTGCCAACAGTTTGCACAATACAGCGCAAGCCCCCACCCTGCAAAGGCAGAGGCCATTTCAGGCTCGCTGAGGCACCTCACACTATGGAGAGCGTCAGTGCTGAAGTCAATCAGTTACTGTCATTGAAGAAGGAGCAGAGGACACGGTGCCTAACATGAACAAAGACGCGGGAGCTTGCTCTCTTCTCCCCCTTGCCATCATGGTGTGGACTCTTTCTCCAACTTTGTGCAGGCAGATGCCAAGCAGAATACATCCAATGGCGGTACAAGTTCTTCCATTAAGGAAGGCAAGACCTCCCTCCACAGCTACACTACATCAGCCAAAACGGTCCCAAACAACTTGCATCACACAGGGAGCCAGTGAAGGAGAGGGAAGCCAGAGCAGATGCCTCCCTGCCTGGTGAATGGCCCATTTACAAACTCAACAATAGTCAGAGGGGAGCAGGGGGCACAAGAGTTACCACCGTGATTGGTGACACCAGCACTTCTGGATCCAGTGTAAGTCAATGCCCTGAAAGAAGACAGGCTAGAAACCAGATTACCATAAACCTAGAGCATCATTTACCCTCTACCCGGTTATTTAAAAAGCACTGTCTTTAGGAAAAATCATGGAAGGAACTACTCACGCAACAAACACTGGTGCTTCCTCACTCTCAAATGTCTCTATGGGATATTAACTGTTAGCTAGATAAAACAGGCAAAAGCAGCCTTTTCACTGCTGAACCAACTAATTACCTTTTATAACTCTTAAAAAGCGAAGGTAGATGTAAGAGCTCTAGTGAAAAGAAAAACATGTTAAGTGCATTGTGTCTAGACTTTGCCAAGCAAATAAGGGAGAGAAAACGTACAAAATCAAAAGATCTTGCTACACCAGAATTTCGAATCAATGTAAAAAAAATTTCAGCCTCATATTTTAATGTATCTTGTCATTAGCGTTTCATATTTACACAATCAGCCTCAGATTGCTGTATATTCAAGATGTACACGCATCCTACATGGTGAATAGCACCCACATAGTAAAATTACAAAAAATTAAAAATGCTTTTCAGGCATCTCATCCCTTAAAATGCTGCACATTCCTGTAACTGTCTCATAAACAGACTATTGGAAAAAAGATCAAACACACAAGGATATCTTCACTACACTAGCAGAAAGCCCTAAAAGTGGGTGGGTCAAGGCAGAAAATGAAGTCTAGGTGATTATTGGGCACCATAAAACAAGGGACGCAGCAAAACACAGAACAGGAAAATATGAGGCGGGGGTGCGGTGGGTGGGGGGGATCCAGGACTGTCAGTACAATATATGCAGGTTTTTTTCAAATGTAAATTTTAAAGTGAATGCTGCTTTTATGTTTCTGCATAAAGGAAAGCATAACAAGGCTGCTTTACTTCCCTTTTAAACACAAGCACATGAAGAGAGTAAGGGTTGTGAAAAGCCAATTCTTTGTGCCGCTACTTAATCAATTGCACTCAGTTCTACTCGATGACACAGCCACACTGCAAAGACCACTCAGCAGTTAATGGATATAATGTTGGAAAAGCACTTTGAGGTCTTCCAAAGAAAGGTAGGGTAAAAACCCAAAGGAGCATGGTTTTATTACTTATTCCCAATAACGAAGCAGTATTGTGGATGGAACTCCCGTGACCTAAAAAGAAATTAAGGTATTAATTTATTTTGCTAATTCTTATTCTTCCATAGGAAATCACTTCTTTCACAAGTTGGTATGTGAAATCACAGTAGAATTAGCCAGTGCCCTAGTCTGTTCTTGTCAGGATAACCATTCCACACTGCACTGCGAGGGATAAATATGTTCTTCAAGTGTTACAGCCTACGTTTACAATCTGTCAAAATGTAGAGCTGAGGAGGAGTTCTGTGTTTTTCACTGTATACATCCATCACTAGCTATCACTCTCCCCACAGACAGCAAAAAGTCAACAATGAAACATAAAAGCTAAAAATAAGCAACTGAGCAATTGCTCAGAAGAGCCGTGCGACAGGCACCGGCTCTACACGGACACACATTCCTTCCCTTTCTTTATTACTGACAATTTAAGGTAACTGAAGTTAAGGATGCAGACATAAGCAAAAGAAAAAGAAACATGCACTGCACAAATATGTCAAAGTGGGAAATAAAATTTCATGCTCATAACCACACAAGATCAGCGTTCCGAATGGCACATGCCCGGAATGCAAGGAGTGACTAATATATGCTACTGCAAATGCCGTGAGAAATGACAATTATAGGCACTTCAAATGCTCAGAAAAAGAACTCAGTGTCATTTCATACAAGCTGCAAATATTTCTCCATTCACAGGTGTCATAACATGTTCATTTCTAAGAGTCAATCAAATCAACATTTATTAAAGACCCACTGTGTACCACTTACTATGCTCTAATCATGGAAAATAGTGCATGAAAAAGAATATGGTTTACATGCAGGTGTATGTTCAAAATATATGTATGGGTATATTCCAATGAATATAGAAAAAGTGTAATCTAAAGGAAAACGCCTGATTCATAAAATCAGCAAATCCATGACTTCAATAGGTATTTTTGGTTTTCTTCTCATTCTGTAAGAATATATTAGGTAAGAAAAATGGCAGAAAACCCTTGAAAATTACAAGTTGGAAATCTTACAAATGAAAAGGAGACAAGGTGTCTTTCAACAGTGTTTTTAAACTCTTTTTTTAACCTTCAAAATGATTCATTTAACAAAATCTCACAGGAAACCACAATGTATAAGTGAGATAAAGAAAGGTATATATATAATGAATACAAATGTGTTGTATAAGTACACGTTTATAACATTTATTAGGTAAATAAATGAGGGGTGTTTTCATAAAGACAAAAATGTGAAATAGGGAATGATAGATGACAGTTACATTCTTTTATGAGCCTCAGTATCTGATTCGTTTCTGTATTTGGGGGGTTTTGGCACCATATTAACAAAATTCTGGTTCATACACATACCTGGGTACAAATAGTAAGATTTAACAGCTCCCCTGAAATCTCAGGTTATTCTTCAAGCAAACAGAGACAGCAAGAAAAGCTTTATTCCATAGGCTGAACCCAGATACACTAACCTATGAACACAAATTGACTCATCACTGTTCTCAACTATGGTTAATTTTCCATCAAGTACACTTGACCATGTGTATGTGGTTTTTTGTTTTAATTACAATATTTAAATTCAAATCAAACCTTCGAGAGACCCAAAGACCCTGCCCAGAATGTCCCAGAGGTTAGAAGACCCTAATCCCTATTTGTAAGCCTGTCTTTAAAAAGCCCACCAGCATATGCGGAGTTGGTATGAGTGGCTAAAATGCGGGTCACCGGGCCATACGTAGCACACAAATCCCTGTTGGCAGAACTAGGATTCGAGCAAGGTGTGCCATCTGCAGATCTGCTGACCTTTTGTTTCCTTCATTTCCTCCCAATGGTCTTGTTCCTCTTCTCCACTACTATTTTGGCCCAGAGCAATCCAACCGATCATCTCTTTACGCTTCATAGTGCGCCTGTTATAAATGGAAATCATCAACGTGACATCAGAGAGCTGAAAGAGGGCCACCTGGAAAACAAAGGTCTCCTTATAGACAGGATTGGGCTGACCACGTCGAATGGATGTCTTACAGCGGGACATCTCTTGACCCACAGAATTGAGAAGAAAGAGCTTCCCGTATGTATCTAAGAAAAAAAAAAACAAATAAGAAAACATCAGGGCTTTCTGTTCTGCTAGTTGTGTTGTAATACTTACATGGGCTCCAAGTTTTTCCTTTTTAACACATTGATCAGCATCCTTGGGCCTGGTGTTTGCTGCAGGGCTAACATATTTTCCATGAATTATTAAGGAAAGGGATTATTAGCTTCAACGTTGAATGTTTCATGCAGCCCATGACAGGCACTTTGCTGATGTTCATCAGAAGCTCTACAGTTACGGAGGTGTATACATGCCTAAGTATGTGCAATGGTGTCTGTGGACATGCATGGTTCTTCATCCACATTTTGTTTATGTAACAAGATAAATATATACATTTTGTTCCAGGAGTGTTTTCTTTTAATAGTCAAAATACTGTTTTATGCCAAGATCACAGACTGCCTTCTCTTCTCACTCTCTCTATATTCTTTGGACCATCTTATCCGCTCAATGACAAGTACCAAATCTGTGTCTCTAGCCTAGACTTCTCTCCCAAGCTCAAGGTCCAGCTCAAAACCACATTTCTTCCTGTGGACATTCCACACACCTCTCACTCATCGTGTCCCCAGCTTTTAAAAACTTGCTGCTCCAGTATTCCCCATCTCTGTGAACAGTAGCATCATCCACTAAATTACCCAAACCAGGAGTCAGGACTACATTTTTATTTGTTTGTTTATTATTTACTTATTGTGAAACTGGCTTTCCATACAGCACCTAGTGCTCATCCCAACAAGTGCCCTCCTGAATGCCCATCACCCATTTCCCCCTCTCTCCCACCCCCATCAACCCTCAGTTTGTTGTCTGTATTTAAGAGTCTCTTACGGTTTGCCTCCCTCCCTGTCTGTAAATTTTTCCCCCCTCCCCTCCCCTATGGTCTTCTGTTAAGTTTCTCAAGATCCACATATGAGTGAAAACATATAGTATCTGTCTTTCTCTAACTGACTTATTTCACTTAGCATAATACCCTCCAGTTCTATCCATATTGCTTCAAACGGCAGGATCTCATTCTTTCTCATATAAACCACATGTGGTTTATAAACACAATGGAATACTACTGGACTACATTTTTGGCAAGACTGGCTCCTCGCCCCTAGTCTAGCCAAGCAATCACCAAGTTCTGTTGATTCTATGTCCTAAATAGCTCCCAACTCTGCCCACTGCTTTCCATTCCCGAAGCCACTGAACTCTGCATGCACTGCAAGCTTGGGTCACCAGCCTCTATCAGAACCTACAATACAGCACGTCTCTTCATTCATCTCCCATCCCTGGGCTGCCCAATCCCACAGCCAGAAGGAGCTCTGTAAAATGCAAATCTGTTCATGTCACTCACTAATAGACAAAGACTAAGGCTTCAATACTTCCCACTAGTCACAGGATCAAAACTAAATGTCTTGGTATAAATCACACACTCTGACCCTCTTACCTTCCAGTTTTACTATGCACCACTGTTGCCTTTATATGCTGCATTCCCACTACACTGAAGTACCTTCACCCCTCCAACCCACCCTGCTCTCTCCCTTTCAACTTCTGCACAAACTCTACATGCTCTGATACCACATGTGATATTTATCTTCCCACAATTTCTATTCATTAGTTTTGTTTGGACGTGGCTGTCTCCAGGAATTTTTGCTGACCACAAGCCCCTGCCCTGACCGGGATAACCCTTCTGTGTGGTCCATCAAAATCTAGCTTCAGGTTATCTCATGGCTTAGCACCCAGCATTGTCATTGCTTGCTTACTCATCTGCAAGGCTATCAGTGTGAGAGAGGAATTGCCTTGTTTATGACTGTACCCCTGGTTCCTGGCCTAGTGTCTAACACATGGTAGACATTCAATAAATATTAAATATTTTGAAATGAATGTACATGACTATCCAGGAGGCTTGACTTTCTTTTTTCTTTTGGTCTTGGGTTTTCAAACTTGAAAAATGAAGGTAAACCCCTTGTTTTATACCCCCTTGTACTAGAATGCTATAAAATGGTGACTAGCCTCATGTTTAGTAACTTATAGAAAGGAAAGAAAACAGCCAAATTTTACTAACATAGTCTCTCCTTCTGCTAAAATTCCTGAATAATTACAAAGAAGATTATCCCTACAATTATATTTTATTAAAATCACTTGATTGATCAATTTATTGACCCTCTCTTAACTATGATTTTTAAAACTTTTTTTGATGTTTTATTTATTATTGAAGGAGAGAGACAGCGTGAGGGGGGAGGGGCAGAGAGAGAGGGAGACACAGAATACGAAGCAAGCTCCAGGCTATGAGCTGTCAGCACAGAGCCCGATGCTGGACTCGAACCTGTAAACCACGAGATCATGACCCAAATGGAAGTCAGAGGTCCAACCAACTGAGCCACCCAGGCACCCCTTAACTACGATTTTTACCACTAACTTCTGTGTGTCCTATTCTTTAGAAAACAAAACAAAACAAAACGTTAGGGCGTTTCCCCAATTCTATCATTCTGTACATTCTGTTCCATGAAGGCTGAAAGCTGGTTAGTGTTTACTGCTCACTTTCCCACCTACCAACCAGTCAAACTTTTAAAAGCGTAAATCCAGATCTCTGTAATTTACAGTTCCTTACAAGAGCATTGTAAGATCGGAAACAAATTACAACCTGCAGTTTTCTTTCTATGTTGATCTTTTTCTATTCCGGTTTGATGTGTTATTTTATTCACTTATCTGCTGAGAAACACAAGGTGTGAAATTACACTTCAGGTGTGAAAACACCTCTCTGTCTCAGAAACAGGGCTCTCCACTCTTCAAACTGCTCCACAGAGAAAGCTGTCAGAAAACCAACAATGGAGGAGTGAATTTGTGTTTCCGCAGCTGTACAGCTGCATGATTCCTACAGGAAAAGTTCAACCCAGTCACCAAACTGCTCTGGCAATTCTGCTGTCAGTTATGGCAGTGGGAATTGAGATCATCTTGCAAACAAAGACTTGCTCATTTCACAAAGTGCAATTTCAGTCTTTATCCCGTCACAAGATCCCTTTCTAATTACAAGAAAGGCCATTTACTCCTAAACCACCATCACCGAAGCTGAATTGAATGTGTATGACAAAAAAGGGCAATAATTATTTTATGAACAATCCAGTCTGAGGACACCTAACCAAAAGAAGAGAAACATTGCTGATTATTCCAGCTCCAGGGAACCTCTTCTCAGCATTAACGATGTGTTGTTGTTTTTTTTTTAATTTTTTTTTTTTAACGTTTATTTATTTTGGGACAGAGAGAGACAGAGCATGAACGGGGGAGGGGCAGAGAGAGAGGGAGACACAGAATCGGAAACAGGCTCCAGGCTCTGAGCCATCAGCCCAGAGCCCGACGTGGGGCTCGAACTCACGGACCGCGAGATGGTGACCTGAGCTGAAGTCGGATGCTTAACCAACTGAGCCACCCAGGCGCCCCAACGATGTGTTTATTTTTAATTGTCCAGAGCAAAGGCTGTGCCCAGGAAATTCTACCTGTGAGAAACAGTGCTGGGGTTTTGGGGGTTCGATGACTTATTCCAATGAGCACCAGCCAGAATTGACAAAGAAAGGGTCAAGTAAATATACAACTTAACTGAATTCTGTTTTAATTCTTTGGAATTGATAATACTTGCTACAAAACACCACCAAGCAATATTTTATCTTCTGATGGATGAGTATTCAGAATGCCCCACAGTGGCACTAATAACTCAAAAACATCATCAAAAGTTTGAATGGGTTGGGGCACCTGGGTAGCTCAGTCGGTCGAGCCCCCGACTTCGACTCAGGTCATGATCTCGCTGTCTGTGACTTCGAGCCCCACGTCAGGCTCTGTGCTGACAGCTCAGAGCCTGGAGCCTGTTTCAGATTCTGTGTCTCCCTGTCTCTGCCCCTCCCCCACTCATCCGCGCGCGCTCTGTCTGTCAAAAATAAACATTAAAAAGAAATTTTTTTTTTAAGTTTCAATGGGTCATGATTCCTTGATAGAAGTGGATGCTGCTCTTCTGACTCAGCTGTGTCAACTGCTTTACCAGTCACTGTCTCTTTTACCAGTTGTTTCCTTCTCCATACAGGAAGATGCCATGCATACCAAAAAAATTATAATAGTACATAATCCTCAATTTATCATGGCACAAAACTGTGTCATTTTAAACTCAGAAGTCATTTTTCCAAAGAAACAGCACAATACCCTACTGGTTACTTATAGAGCTCATAGGAAACACTGCCTATTTGCAGTACCATAGACTCTGCCTTGGGGCAGGGGTGGGGTACCGTGATTGACCAGGCAAGGGAAAGGAATTCAGTCATTTAACCTCCCCTTCTCTTTTAATTTATCATAGTTACAAGATATTTTAAACATACAGAAAAGAATAGAGAACAATATTACATATACCCAAATACCCATCACACAGATGTGTGGTATTTAGCATTTGTTATAGTTACCACTGACCTTTTGCTTTTTGTTGGATTTTTAGGAAATAAAATATTATAATTGAAGATCCTTGAGTATTCCTCCTTGATCCTATTTGATTGCTTCTCTCACTAATAGTAATTACTAGTCTGTATTTGGAGTTCATCATTTTCATGTATATTTTTAGACTTTCACCATATAATGGACATAAATATACACAAAATATACTTAATAGTATTTTGCACATTTAAAGTACTTAGCATTTTACTGTATTTATTCCTGAAAACATGCCTTTTTTCATTCAGCATTAAGTTTTTTATATTATCTGTATTGATATATATCCTTGTGACTCCTTTATTTTAACAGATATATAATGTTTAAACTACAACTCACTTGTCCATTCTCCTAATTAATGGATATTTGTGTGTAATAACCAAGAATTGAAAAGATTTCAATGAATATTTTTCTATATTTTACACTACCAAAATTTGAGAATTTTTCCAGTATATATGTAGGAGTGGATTGCTGGTTCTTTATAAATTCTAGATAAATATATTTTTTATATTTATTGCTAGTATCTTTTCTCTGCATGTAGCTTACCTTT